GAATTCTAGGAGCAGGTGATTCCCCGGAAAATGCCTGAGGCCTACTGCAAACGTTTGCACCTCCCAAAGCCCATGTTATGTCCACTGGGGCAAGAGATGTGGTGATTCAACTTCTTACTCTTCTTCCTGCCTGGTCTTGTGCTCCCATTGGTGGGTCCAGCTGATTGTCACATGGACAAGGGATTCAGAAAACACACGGCCAGTGTCTGCCACTGAGCTGCTAGGAACAGTGTGATGGGAGGGAGTTCCAGGGCTGGGGTTACAGTGTTCATCTTCAATAGATTGACATCTGCCATCTGTTTCTAATGCCCTGGACTCTGGTTCTCTATCAGTTCCCTCTATCTGCTTCCATGACCTTCCCTTATTGGTTTCACCTATTTCCATTCTTATTTATCCATGTCTGTATTTAAGACCATGAGTTGTCCTCGGAATTTTGCTTTATCTACATCCCACATATTCTTTTTTTGTAACATTTTCATAAGAAAACTTTATTTTAAACCTACTAACCACCCTCTTTTCTGCTCTGTTTCCATTAACCAGTTAAGCTGTCCAGGGTACTCAGAGCACTTCACCTTTCTTTCCTTATCTCATACTTTTTTGTTTATCTGCTTACAGTCATTCTAATGTCCTCAACTGAAGATGGTGCTGTCCTCACAAGGGGCATTTGGAAAACTGTGAAGGCATTTCAGCTGTCACTGTGATGGGTGCACTTCAGGCACAAATGGGTAGACCCCAGGATGCTAGAATCCTCGAGGCATTGTGTCTGAGCTGCACAGCAGAGAATAGTTTTGCCGCATGTGCTGGTAGTGTCCCATCAAGAAAAACAAGTCACAGCTAAAAAATAACAGAGTCAGAACATGCACCCCCACTAGACAAAGCCAACATTATCTTTGAGAAATATGCGTGTGTTATACCTATATGCATTCTTACTTGGTTATCACATGAGTTTCCTGGCAGGTAAAAATCTGGATTTCCTGGCAGGTAAAAACCCAGGGCCTTGGGCATAGGAGTTTGAAATGACACTAAGGCTATTCAAAGTAAAGCCAAAAGAATATCTCCAATAAGAAAGAAAAATATGTCTATTAGTCAGTCAGCTTCTGCTTCTGTTTTGGAGTGAAGCACCTTTTCTATTTGCTTAGTTAAGGGGCTCTACCTTGCTGGGAATCCCCCGTGATCTTTTTTGAGACTAGAACACAGGTTTGAATTCCACATGTTTCTAATTTCAAAGCAGGAAATCAAACTGAAGTTGTTACTTGTAGACTCATGCCCCCTAAAACAGTGTAGGAATTTGGCTAAAGAAATTTAAAAAGGAACTTTGGCTTGAAACGCAAGTAGAGGAAAAGTTAGCTTTCCTTCTGTCTCATTAGGGAGACCTCCAACAGTGTTAGAAAAGAGGACAGTTCCTCCGTACGCTCCTCCCTTAAATGGGGTCATTATGATGATTACCTTAAGAGAGTCCATAAGATTCTCTGAAGAATAGTTTTAAATAGACATTTGTTTCTTTTTCTAATTTAATARTTTCTCATTCCTGGTGAGCAAGTAGAAAAGTGAGTTCATAAAACATGATCCAAATTCAATCTTGGTATTGATGCATAGGTGAGTCATACCAAATGTGTCCCAGTTCCTCCTAAGTCATGTATAAAAGAAAGATTACTCCCCTACGTTGATGATTTTTTTGGCAAAGTATTAGTTAACCCCCATTAACTTGTACGAGCTCAGAAGTTACTAAACATTAAAAAATTGGCCAATGACTCACCAAGTACTTATGAATGAGAACAAATTAATCCATGCCAGCTACTGAAATTACRGAAATGAATAACACATGTTCCCTGCCCTCCAGAAACGTGTTCCAGAGGATGACATGTGTTCGTTAGGCCGACCTTGCAAGAGTCGGCCTGTGATGCCTGCCTCGAGCAGCAGAGACATTGCCATTTGGCATTTTGCCGGGATGATGAGCACAGACCTTGCGGGGCTGACATCGACTGTTTAACTCTCAACACCCCTGACACGGACGTAGCAGCAGTCCTCCCCTSTCTGGAAACAGCTGGGTGTCTCCAACTCAGCTCAGTTCCCTGTGGGCTCGCACCCCACCCTAAGGCCTCATGTAATCTCTGACCTCCCAGAGGCCCCACCCCCAGACATATGGCCAGAGCAAGTGTCCACCCTCTGGACAGGGATGCCATTTCAGCATGAGYTTTGGTGCAGACCTCTGGACCATAGCACCAGGTCCCCACTCTTCTGCCCAACTTCACTGCCACGTTGGGGCTTCCACAGTCCTTCCCTTTGGATAACTGGTAGGTGGCTTCATTTGCAGCATGGCTCACGGGACTCAGGACGTGTTCCTTTACTGTCACAGATTATCATGAAGGATAAAAGTGAATGGCATGTTAGGCTCAGGGTCAAGCAGGGACACAGGCTTTTGTCTTGTGGAGCTGGGATGCACCTCCTCCTGGATCATGGATATGTTCACGACTGGGAAACTCTCTGAACCCATCCTTTAGAAGTTTAGTGGAGGTTTACATAGGTAGGCCTGATCGAGTCCTTCATTGGCCACTGGAGATGAACGCGGCCTCCAGGCCCTCTCCCCTCTCTGAGGTTGGCGAGGGCAGGCCAGCGCTCAGGGCTGAGAGTTCCAACCTCCCAATGGGGCCTCAGTCTTTCTGATGGCCAGCTGCCTTCCTGAAGCTATGGGGCTCCCAGTCCCCAGTCACCCCTTCAGCATGCATGTATCTTCCCACACTCCAGAGAGTCCCAGGGTTTGGGGAATTGTGTGTACTATGTGACACCTGGGTAWACTGAGGCATAAAAGTCACAGCTTCTCATATGGCCTAGAGTAGAGGTTCTTAAGGTGGCCCCTGGTCTGGCAGCCTCTGCAGCTCCAGGGCTTTTGTTGCAAACTGCAGCTCCTGCAGATCTATGCATCAGAAACCCTGGGTGGCCCAGGCTTCCTGGGTTTTCACTAGCAAGTTCCCCTGGGAGTCTGATGCAAGACCCCCTCTCCACCAAGGGAGTCAGAGAAGGCAGTGCCAGGGTCTCACTCAGAAGGGAAAGCCATGTGCCTGGTGAGCCCAGAGGCATGGCAGTGGGGGGTACCTTCCAAGTTCAGAGGACAGCACCTGGGCAGGCCTGGGGGTCAGAGGATGGGGAAGGCCACAGGTCAGGGTCACAGTRTCACATGGCTGCAAGGGAAGGGTTAAGTAGGATTTAAACAAAGAGAAAAGGCTTTTAATTTGGTAGCAGTAGGAATGTGGCCTATGTGTTCACCCATGGCCATGAGGGAATTTCCTCTAGAAAGTTGGACCCATCTGGCACAAGCGCAGCCTGTCCCTTCTGAGTGGATGGGGCTTCTCTAAGGACTTGAATRTGGAGGCATTTGGGTGCTGCAGTGCCCCCAGTGCCTGTCTGTCCCAGGTGTGATGGCACAGCTCCTGTGGCCTGCCAAGGTCCCAGCRTCCCTGAGAATGCTGGATTTCTGGGACATCACTCGCTTTTGCTGTGCTTTCCCTTGAGGAGTCCCCTGGGCTGCCCACACTTCCTCCAGGTCCTGTGCTCACCTGCTCTGCCTCGAGCTGGCCCAGTGGCACCTGAGTGGGATCCTTGGAGCACTCGGGCCTGCAGATTCCACTCCAGCCCTCGTCTGCCTCCGCTGGCCTGTGGCTGTGGGGTCGCAGCTCCTGAACTGCACTGTTGTGCTGACTTCGAGCACAGGCACCCCTGTGCTGCCCCCCACTTCTGCTCTCCCCCCGGATCACTCCTGCCTGTGGGAATTGGCCCCTAAGGCTGGTCACTAAACCCTTTGTTGACTTTCCTGAGTCAATCTGTTAGAATAAGGGGGTCACAGACTTGCCACGTGCCTTTCCTTGCCCACAGCCTCACGTGCAGTGGATGCCAACTTGACCTCTCATCTCTACTCTTAGAGGCACTGTGTGTGACTTAGATCTTGTTCCTTCATATGAATGTCCTTCAGGAGAATAAATACATTCTCAAATAAATTTTCTTACACTTTCACAGAGTATTCCGTGACTTTCTCAAAGTCACGACTTCTCCCTATTGTACGAACTTCTAATTATTATCCTTCAATTACTTACAGTCTCTTTTGATATCACAAAAATATACACAACATAAAATCACCATTTTAACTGCTCCTGAGTGCGTGGTTCACCAGTGTTAAGTACATTTGTGTTACTGCACGGCCGTCAACGCTGTCCACCTCAAAACTTGATCATCAGCCCAGACGCTCTGAGTTCATATAACAATGAGTCCACCCTGTCCCTCCTGCCAGGCCCTGGAGCCACCCTTCTGCTCCTTGTCTCCAGGACTATGACTTTTCCTGGAGCCTCACATAATGCCTCTTTCAAGACAATTTCATTAATTGGAATACTAAACAAATTAAGGGACATTCATAAAGCTTTAAATAGCTCATGRGATGTACATGGAGGAGAGCAATCAGACCAACATTCATTCCCGCCGGCCTCATTCCACGCAGCTCCTGAGTCACAATCATGAAGTCAAGCATCCAGATTGTGACCCAGGCAACACTTAGCCCCCAATTCTCTGGTGATAAACTGCTAACCATTTTGTTGTGCGTGCCTCCTGCTGACTTATTGCTAGTTGTCTCCCTYTGTCATCTCTCAAATGGAAATCTGAGACAGTTTATATAATCTTGGCATTTCTTTTGATAAATGCTAGTATTCCCAGCTATGGTTTTAAAAAAAAACCTGCTATATTCTATCAAACGCATTACAGCATTAAACACAAGAAACATATTAATTTTAAAGGTGTTAAAATATGGGAGGAACTGTGTACCTCCTAGAACTGTTGAAATCCACCAGTTAAAAGTCATTAAGACAGGTCAGCAAATGGARTATTCAGAATTGGCCTTTGGACCTTAACACACAGGCATAAAAGTGTAATCAAGGTTTTCAGGAAGATGAGCCAGCTCTTCCTCTGATACAGAGCACAATGGCAAGTCTGTAATGTCCATCTCTTCCTTCCCACAGGACAGATGGTCACCAAGGAAGGCTGCTACAGAGACCTGAAGTTTCAAGTTAACACATCCTTCTGCAATCCCAAGACCCGACCCATCACGGGGCTGGTGTCCTGCAAAGTCTCTGCCTGTCCCCCCAGGTAAGTGGTACCCTGCTCAACACCACAGGTAGACAGTTCAGGGAGTCCTTGGAGGTCCAAAGTCTGCACCACAAGAAGTGCTGACCACCTCCTTTCAACGCATAGCCACCGAGAGGCGAGTGGAYAMGAGCAGCCTGAATAAGGTGTCTRGAAAAGCATATTTTAGTGAGARATGGCCTGGAAGGTCTGTGTCTGTGAATCGCGTTCTTACAGTAGCATTCCATTGGATTTATGTTTGGTGATAGTAACACCTTCTCTCTTAGCCTCTGGTCCTGTTCAGTACCATGGTATTTTTCTTACTTAATGAAACACACTGGAGGAGCAGAGCCAGACCCAGGCCTGCCCAGCTGGTGAGGGCTGCAGAATTGCTACCACACCCCGTAAAGGTGAATCTGTGAGGGACAGCACCAGGGCTTCTGCCCTCAGGGCTGCCACCCCTGGGGATCTCCAGATCAACACTCAGCTTCTCTGAGACATGGGCTTGGGAATGTCCCCAAGAGGCAGTGTRGTCCTGCTCTGTCCTGCTCTGCCCCCGGGAGCACCACCTGAGCAAGGCCTTGCTTTGTCTGGTCTCCAGGTCTTCATATTGGCCTGGGGACAYGTCAAGGAGGATGGTGTAAATTGCCTAAGATAATGTGTTTACAGGAGAAATTTGAGCTTCAGCAAGACCTTTCGGAGAGCCCAATGCACTAAACACCACTAGAAGTCAATCTACTACTTATGGCTGTGAAGATCCACAGTGGTGGGAGAATGGGTCCTTGGTGTGCTGGAATGTGCCTCCAGAGGGGAGATGAGAGGTGCTTTCCCTCTGTCCTTCTCAGAGCTCTCTATGTGCTGGGCTCTGGCTTGGTGTAGGCATGGAGACAGAGTATCACAACCTGAGGAGCTGGGAATTTCCAGTCATGACGAGGGGCTCTCTGGGAAGGTCCCGTCCTCCCCGCACAGCTGCCTACAGTGCAGCTGGGGACCACCTTATCTCACCACTGGACTTGCCTCAGTCCTGGTTCCCTGACCACCATGTCCCACTGGTATTGATAGAGATGTCCATCAGAACTGACACAAGAATTTTAGTCCTGGAAACCCATTAGCTACTGAGGTCTCTGTCGCCTCCCTGGGGATTCTTTCCAAGGTCACACACACCTAATTCTGATGCTCCACAGTGTCGGTGATTCCAGAGCCAGTGCTGTGCACCCCTGCAGGTCCTGGAGGGTCAGCTGCATGTTCCCCCTGACTGGACAGCCCTACGGGCGGGGCTGAGGACAGCCAGGGTGCAGCAAGAGCACCAGTTCTGGACCTGGCGGGTCGTGCCAATGCAGGCACTTCAGGAGAGTGAAGAACAAGAACCTCAGGGCAGCTGAGGCAGGCAGAACAGAACAGGCCACCTCTGCAGGAACTAGGGGTCAGAGACAAGGCAGGCTGGACATGAGAAGATCTTAATCAGAATGACTACTGCAGCGGGGAAAGTCCAGCGTGAACTGGGCTCAGCCTTGACTTGGGCAGAGGTCACTGGGAGAAGAAGGGATCCATGTGSAGGTGAGCAGAGCTCACTGGAGTCTTGGAAGGGAAGGAAGCAGGATCCTGGGAAGGAAGGGGAGGTCTCTGGGCAAGGCATCTGGACTGTCTACAGAAGTCAGGCTGCACGGAGTCGGGCTCATGCCCTCCCACGGAGAACAGTGGGTCCTCTCTTTGAGTGTYGGCTGGAACTAGCAACAGATTTTTGGGGCAGCCTTGAGCTTCCTCAGCAGGTATACAGTGGGGGCTGGGGTCATCTAGGGACATGCCACTGAACTGTGGCCAAGGCTGAGTTAGGAGGAGGGCTCAGAGGAGCCTGGAGTTAGTTTGGGAAGGAGGGATCTTTGTCGTTGGCACACTAATTTTACCACCTCCCTGAACAGCGGGGACTGATSCTGTGCTCCAGTGGCCATCGTCATGGATGGTAAGTGTCAGCCCAAGATAATCTGTGGGCCACTTTGGTCTATGTGGTATGTCTTGGAGCAACATGCTGTCACACGGCGTATGACCATATCTGGGCTAGGTGTGTCTGTGAATTCATACATTGCCCTTTTTTCCGCATCTGTCATCCATTTATAATGATGAGTGTTGGTTTCTCCTCTGCCTCTTTCTATTACAGAGGAATCGGAGCCAAAGACATTTCTGGAGTCCTCTGGGTCCTGTATTCTAACTTAACTCATTCCAATCCAATTTAATAAGTAAATTCTGCCAAAAGCATTGTATGCTGAAAGAAAAGTCACAATTAGTTGATAAAGGGGTCAGTCTAGGGGAAGYTGGACTGATGGAAAACTGAGGCTGAGGTGACCCCGGATCCACCCAGGGGAAATCGAGAGACCTCCTTCTGGTCTCCTTGATGTCTGTGTGTTGCATGGTTGAGAGCCATTGATATCATCCTTTGGAAGAGGAAACTTTCAAAGGTGCTGCCCATGACCACAGACCCAGCTCCTGGCTGGGAGATTCTGGAGCAGCAAGAGTGCATCTGTCCCATTCCTGCCTCACCCCCAGCAAGTCAYAGGAGCCTGCAAACAAATGGGGCTCCCCCAGCGTCCATTTCACAGGCCTCCTAAAWGGAGTTCTTCCAGTGGAGGGCTCAGCCCGGTGGATGCCACTGGTGGGCTGGAGGGTGGGTGGGCCCCACCTCCTCCCCCACTTCGGATGTGATCCAGGTCATAATGGTACCTGTCTTCTAGAGCAAGCTGAGGGTCTCTTGAGATCATCCACATACAAGCTCCTCGGTTTGATAAACACTAAAGCTTGGATATTTTTATTTCTTCTATAAAAAGAAAAACAAACCAGTTATTTGTTTAGTCTATGAAGTAAAATAATCGGGATGAAATGCCTAAACATGGTCCTGCACTACTGAATACTTATGGGATATTATTTTATCACTTCATTTTTTAGCGATTGAGTTGGGAAATAGATTTTAATTTAAAAATGTTTTGGTTTTCCTCTGAAAGGTATCGCACATTTCTGTGTTGTAGGATACTGATAATTAATTCTTTTCCTCTAATTAAGTAGACAGAAAGCCCAAGTGAGTCCATTTCTGGGACAGGGAAAGTGTGTGTCCCTGTTCTTTTCTCCTTGAGGCTGCTGGGTCCCTGCCCAGCCTTGGGTACTCTGAGGCTCACAGAGCTGACACGGCTGAGTGGCAGGAGCAAACCATCCCACCCTCAGCTATTGCTCCAGATGATTCCACGGCAAGGTGCAGTGGAGGGAGATTCAGAGTTTCATGTTGACTTGGAGGAGGGTCCCCAAAGAATGGGGAATGGGAATCTTTACACTCTTCACCCACAGCCTTCTCATGTGCACCCTAATTGACAGGGGGTCAGAGCTCTGCTGGTGAGAGCCCCTGAGCCCCCATCAACATCCAGAAACCTGCCTGCCCAGGTTCTAGGGCCCTGGGTTGGGTCACTGTAAAGCCACAGGGTCACAGCCAGAAGGAATGGCCCTAAATGGTCAATCTCTGTGGGGGTGGGGATGGGGAGCCCACGGACCCCCTTGTGAGGGAGAGATGATCTTAATGTGTCTGTGTCTGCTGGCGTGGGGCCGCTGGGGCTTCCTGGGCATGAGCAGTTTGTAGTTGCTCCTCTGGGATGGAGGAAGCCAACACAGGCCCCCATCGCCCTCCTCCTCCTCCTGACATTACAGCAGACAAGCAGCCCGCAGCCCTCCCCTGCCCCCCTGCCCCTGCCCTATTTTAGTGTGAGTCAGACATTTTTATCCCTTGCTTTTGAAACAGGAATTATAAATCACACAACTAGTTACTTCCTTTATGTTTGTCAGCTTATCTAAATGGACTGGCTCTTGTGTCATTTATCTCCAATATCTAGTTTTTTAAGCACAAACACTGATAGCAAACCTTCCTGGACGAGGGATTGACTGCCAGAGGAAATGCCTTCCAGATGGGGAAGGGCTGCTCCGGCCCTCCAGTCTAGGGGCGCACAGTGACAGTGTGGGCAGACACTGGGATGAAGTGCTGTTTTAGCCTCTCAGGAATCCATGCAGACGGGCCACGTGTCCGCTTGATGTTGGTTTGACCACAGTACTTTTGTCGTGCAGAGTTGTTCCTTCCACAACAGAGATACCCAGGCCAGGAACCGTGTCCTCGGGCTGCACACTGTATAAATTGAACGTAGATTCAGCTGGATAATCCTATTACTAACATTCTCTTATAGCAATGCTTTCAGTCACAGGAAGGGGGGATGATTTTAACTTTTGGTTTTTTTAGGGGGAGGTGGGGGTTGCTGAGGATTGAACCCAGAGGTGCTTTACCATGAGATACATTCCMAGCCCTTTTTAATTTTTATTCATTTATTTATTTTTTCATTTGAGACAGCTAAGCTGTCCAGGCTGACTTCAGACTGGCAATTCTCCTGCCTCGGTCTCCTGGGCTGCTGGGATTTAAAAAAAAGTTTACTCCTTCTTTTCTTTTCGTTTCCTTTCCTTTCATTTTATTTATTTTCCTTTCTTTACCTCTYCTGTCTCTTTTAAACCTGAGTATGTAAATACTAACCACCCAGCAGCTTGCTGGTTGCCACGGCAATGAAGGAAACCTGACACTTAGGTAGCATCTACACAGGAAGAGGTCAGCTGGCAGGAATGCCAAGGCTATCAGCTGGGGCCATTTAACTGTGCCTTGGAAACTTAAGATACTTATTTTGGGAGGAAACTTAGCTGGTTACTTAGGTTAAATATTTTAATCTCTCATAATATCTTCATTATTTTGGCCTCCAGACCCCAGTGTGGTTGACACCAAAATTCACTCAGTCTTCCTATAATCAGTATAACCCTACCCTAGTAATTGAAACTGTGGCATATGCTTCTGATATTTCAGAATAAGAATATAAAATAAGCTGACAGAGATAGATAGATGGTAGTTTAGACTAGATAAACTAGATAGAGGAGAGATAGATATTCAAGAGATGAATGGTAGACAAAAAGACGGCAGCTAGATGATAAATAGAAAGTAGGTGGTAGATAGGTAAATG